GCATTTCCCACATCACACTAAGAAATAGATCCGCCATATGCAAGACCACAGATTCCAAAGTGCTGCCACCAACACAAACATTTTTATCTGCAAGAAAGATTCTGCAAGAAAGGATTGGAAAACACAAAGATAAACTGCCCTGAACTCATTCAATGTATTTAAGAATTTCACAACTTTGGGTTACAGCTGAAGCATAACAGAAGACATTTATACCTGGTTGTGCTTCACTAAATGGAGCCCAAAAAGGCCCAGGTCCAGCAAGAGGTCGCTCATTATTTCCTCCGCTGGGATGGCGGTTGTGCTTCCTCCATGTATGTGGAGAGGTTGGTGGGGACTGCTGTGGTGAAACAACTGGAGATGTGGACTCCTAATAAAACAAAGGAACCTTTTAAGTTTGTTTACTAAATAACTAAATACATAGAAGCCTATCTAAAACCATTATTTCTAGGAACAACTATCACTGCAGTTAAAGTCTCACTTTAGAGTTTGAAAATTTTAGTACTTATTAAAATGAGGTAAGAGAAGTCAGGTTCAGTATGACTGGGACTAGACATGTCCACTTCAAACATCATCATCTAATAAATTTTTAGCTTAGCATTCTTAAGACAACACGAATGCCAGGTTAAATGACTTGGTTACAAAGGGAACTATTATTTTCACTTGTGATAGAAGTTACTTTTGAACCCAGGTCTCAGAAGGAAAGATCAGGTATGATTAGTTGTACAGTAAGTAATTTTCATCAAGTGATTCACAATCAATTACTTCTATTCAAAAAAACAAACCAGAATTAAACATTAAAAAAATTAAATCACTACACAGGCCCCATTACTTTTTAATACACAAAAGCATAGACGGCATAACTCCTTGAAAAAAATTACATCTATCATATACTTCTCTGCTGAACAAATTACAAGGTAGTTTTGCCCTGATTTTATGGCTCAAGCTTATCTTTAATCCCATATTGTACTATATGCTCCCTGAACAGGTAGGAAAACAGAGAATCACCTGTGCAATTTCGACCTGGAGTCAGTTCTCATGAGACATTCAGATTATCAGATTATTTTACTTCAAATAAAATACAAAGGAAAAACTTATATAGTAGAAAGTAATTTCATCCCTATACTTAGATCTTGAAATTCTTGTTTGCCAGATCTCCCAATTTGAATTCTGTATTAGTGAAAACAAGTACAAGAAGAAAACAAAGTTTGAACTCCCAGCTTCCTAAAAAGTAAAAGCAAAGCTAAAAATCTCAAATCCGTTTCATTAGGAGACAAAAATAAAAGTCTGGTAATCTATGTTACCAACTGTTAACACACTATTCAAGTACCAACAGCCAAACTGACTGCAGGCTTCCCCACGACTCCCCAAACTGAACGCCTTTCCTCTGTAGAATATTCAACGGTCATTATGCTTTTTAATCAATATTACACCTGCAAAAGTCTAAGAGTCAGTGAGCAAGTGCCATCAACAATCTTTTCTCCAAGCAAGGTACATACTAAAACTACATGCACCCTAACAAAAATGTTTTGGGGTCATGATGACTGGTTACTTTCTAATGTATTGATATAAACTTTCACCTTTTTTTTTTATCTCCAATTTTCATATTTCCTGGGATACAGAATCAATCCTGGTTGATTCTGCAACTGAGGTGTTTTCTGAAAGCTCTGACCATGGAGTCAGATTTCCTTAAATAAGTTCCTAGGCCACAGGATTTTGAACTTTCCATTCAAAGCATTTAAATGATGCCCACGTGTATCGGCAAAGAGTACCACAAAGCAGCACTAATTCACTTCAATTCAGGGACCAGCTGACTGCACAAAGTCACTGCTTTTCCACAGTACCTCCTCCACCAGCTCCAAGATTTTGTTGCAGTTACATACCTTTCTGAAATTTGCCTGAAGGTTCCTACTCTCAGCATCTTATCTGACAAGAAATTTAGTTTAGATGACACCACCTGCCTACCCTTACAGGTACATGGGGGAAAGAGGGAAGGAGTCAGGGTACCCAGAGTGCCATTTGCAGGCTGGAAGCTAGAACCCAGGTTGAATGGTAAGCACACGTAGCATAGTGCAACAGGTGCTAGGAGAACCAGAATGATGAATCACTGAAATCAATTAAAAGCTTCCTCTTCCATTGGCTTTTATACAAGCCATTTTTTATCCAACAAGATTTTAAGGATATCTGAATTTATAGACAAAATACCATGAATAAACCTAAGGAAAGTTATTCTTGATCACAGACACTATTCACTTACTCCAGTGTAAGTCAGATGGTCCAGAAAGACAGAAGAAAACCTGAGTTCTCTCTCAGGTTTTGATAGTCTACTTACAGGAAACCACTCACTACTTCTAGTAACTGTATGTGAACATTAACTCTTGACACAAACCTCAAGAAAGAAGCCTTGTCCTAAAGCAGGTGACAACTGACTATTCAGGTAAGCCTCTGTCTAACATTTGGCCTTATGCTCAGAGCAGGAAGAAATTATAAATATGACCCTCAACTGCAGTTCTTCTAAATGTTTACTTTGCACATAGTTCACATAATTCTGCAAAGTGTGTTATAATGGTAATCAGATCATTGGAAGTACAAGCAATGTTCCAGTTAATGTTTTATCAGAATTCTGAACTTTTACAAATTTCCCACAATTGGTTTGAAGCTTCAGCTCACAGATCCCAAAATAATTAAAGAACAAAAGCATTTCACCAACTCTGATGTCAAAAAACTTCTGGAAGAAGGAGAAGCCACATCTTCAGATTTATTAGACGAGCTACTATTAAATCTTTATTTTTATAAACTGTTTTAGCACCTTCAATGAAATGATATTTAAACATTTAAAACACCAGCTTTTAATTTATCTCAAAAAATCTACAAAAATCGTAACAATTACAAAGTTACGGTTTTTACTATCTTAAGACATTTATTTTTCCTCTTTACATTATTTCAGAATACAAATCAAAAGAAAAGCATGTTGACATAAATAGCTATTTAACATTTTTACATTAAAACAAACTGCTGAGGACATTCTTCTCAATAACTAATAAAAAAATAAGCTTCTATCTAGCAGTCAAAAATTAAGTAATCCGTCTTAATTAAAAAACCCACATTACAAAAGTTTGACAAGAAATCATGGGTTTTCTTATAACTGGAATTACAAAACCAAACACTATGAAGGACTCGGAATTTGGCAGTTTTTTGGAACTGACAAACAGTTACTGAAAACAGCATGTTAATTAAAAAAAGGTAATATAACATACGGCTCTAAAAGAATAACCCTAGTGAAGATAAGTCAAACAAACTGGTGTTAGACAACACAATACTGTGCTAAAGCAACTCTGAGAGATCTCAACCTCCAAGGAGCATTGCAAGCATGCGTGAGTCAAATGAGATTATAAACCTTTTCCTGGATCTCACACCTCAGGCCAGAAGAAAGCCTCCTAAGGAGAATTCCAGAGACAATGAAGCCAGACATGGTATCCGGAGGGTAGCTCTAAGGGTGTTGTGATCCAGGTCCTGATACCACACAGCCTGCATAAGAGTCAGGGCACAGATCCATCATGAAGAAAGATTATGCTAGAGATGGTAATTGCATTGCAGAACCCATGTTTGCCACCAACTAGCATTCATATTGAAGAAAAAATAGTCCCAAGGTTCAATGAGAACTTCTTCACATGCAGCACTACACATTTTTAGAGAGGGGGATGTGGTTCAGCCAATTAGCAACTTGTTAGTCTGACCTTAACAGTTTGGAATGGTTTAAACTAGAATTTGAAGAAAATAATTAAGAACAGAGACAAATGGAAAAGGAATCAATCACAGCATAGGAAATCTTATTTAAATTGGCTGATATTATTTTTGTGTTTTTCTGGACAAAGGAAATGCAGTACATTTAACCTGAACCTCAGCATATTTCAGTGTGGTGCCATACAAGATAATTGCAACAATGTGGACATTAATACAAGAATCTACACTGCAAAAGAACTGGTTGCAGAAGGAGCAAAGCTGGACTGTATCAGAATGGGAACTATGGGTTTGAATCAAAGTTTCTAACAATCCTCCTGATTCGGGGAATGACCTGATTTAACACTTTAGGTAACTGATTATGCACACTAAATAGCACACTGATGAATTCTGACAACAAATGTTACGTAGGCAGATGGATGGATTCCTTTCAGGACACAGTTAGCAGTCAACTATCAAGTTTTAAAATACAAAATACAGTTTCTTGCATAGTGGAAATTAATACCAAAGTGCATGAGAATCAATCAGCTGAAAACAGAAGACTGGATGTACAGGCCAACTATTACACCACTATAGTATGTCAAGCATGACAGATTTGTTTTGTTCACAGCTGCTAAGGGCTATGAGGTGACATATCAAGCAGAAGTAGGGAAGTACCCTACAAAATACTGGTGAGATTTCATTTGGAAGAGGAAATATGAATCTAGTAAAATACTTTTAATAAGAACAACTTCAAATTGGATCAAAAGCAGAGGAGGAGTATGAGGATTACTGGTAACTGTGAGACAAAACTGAGCCTATGCATTGTTTTGTCAAGCAAAACAAAGCTAAGGGGAAATACAATGATTTTCTGGTAAATACTGGTGATGTTCTGCAGCAAATACTAAGGATAAAGCTGTTAAAAGAACAGGTATTACCTGGTTTGAATAAAGTCAAGTGGGAATTCCCTCCATATTCCCAATAATATTCCACTAAATTCTTACTAAGGCTCTGGAACAGTTTTCCCCAACAGAGCCAGTGTAGACAGAAGGTTGCCATTTCAAGAGAGAACTCTTTTTTTTTTTTTCCCAAACTCATTATCTAATACGACTTCCTCATTATAACAGAGGATCAGACCCAACGACACAAGAGGTCTTTTCCAGTTCTGTGCTCCCAAACAATTTAATGCCAGAAATATATTTTACATGGAATTACCCATTCAATCTACAAAACAGAAGCAAACGAACTACTGGCAAAAATTTAAAGTCACACAACTTCTCATATAGTTAAAAAAAGTTGAAATTATCAAATTGACTGCTACAGGTGCCAAGTTTGGGCTGTCCCCTCCTAAGGCTGCACTTACATGGCAATAAATCAATATAGTCTAGAGTGCCAGCATTAAGCTAAATACACACATAGGTAGATAAGTACTTCAGCTTTACCTTTTATTTTCACCTGGATAGAGCAAGTTTCAGACTATGAACATTTGCCAGAAGCATGTGTTTCAGCTGCTAGAGCCTCAACATCTACTGAAACTAGCTACTCCTTTTCCTGGAAAAGGTGTCAAGCCAGGTGGAAGTACCCCAAAGCAGTACCTGATCAAGACTTGAATCACACTTAGAGACACTGAGAAAAGTATCTGCTTTTTGACTTTAACAACAAAACATCCAAGGCCAGTATCTAACAGACTGATATCGAGAACATTTAATGACTTGTAAGCTGCTTTCAAAGGACAGAAGATACTTCCTAATCTAAACATTGCCACTTCTTCCTGTTTCCAGTACATTTGTCTCATTCCTTTAAAAAAGCCAAAAAAACCTTCCACCTATAAATGACAGCTCCTAATTCTGCTAGGAGGTTTTCTTAAAAAACAAGCACAAGAACTTAACAGAATCTAGATTCTCAAGGTCAGCCTAAATTAACATTTTTTAGTAGCCTAGCTGCTACAACCAAGGTATAGAGATATGTATATACACCATGGTTAGCATACCCATGTCAACAAATCTGCTCCTACAGATGTCACAGTAGCAGCAGTGTTCAAATCTATACAGCCTCTATTATTTTCAGCCAAAAAAAAATCCCCCAATACTTGACCTCCACTAGGATGTGCAGTCAACATGCTGTCTAATGAACAAGGACATCTTTCATCATTTGGCTTGACTCCTAGAATCATTTCTGCAGCTTCCACAACAGCTGGATGTGACTTCAGTCATCTTCTCTTAAAACTAACAGTATTTAAAAGATACAAACTTCTGGCCAGTGCTATATTCATAATACTTAGCTATTATAAACTAAAAACCCCACTGCAAAAAAAAGGATGCTACTGAACTTAGCTCACACTTACTTTAAAAGATGACCTCATTTATTGCTACTCTTTGGAAACACAAGCTGATTGCCATTTCCTGACACCATGCTTCCAGCTGAAGCTCATTGAGGGGAGCTGCCAAAATAATGTATTGATAAAAAACTAGGACATTTCAGTAGACAATACTTTTAGGGAAGTTCTTTTACATAAATTGTTTGTAATTATAAGACTTCAACCTGTGGATGACAAATCTCCTCAATACAGAAAGCTGCACATAAATCAACATAGTTTTTAAAGATGATGATTAAGATATCTTATTATTTCATACAAATAAAATTTCAGCCAAAGTATTTTATGAAATTGATGTATTTTGCAGTGCCAGGCATATAAAAGCCAGTAACAGTTTAAGAAAAAAAAAAAAACAAACAAATACAACCCATCATCAAAACAAGACCTCAAACTCACTAATGGAGTACCTAACAGTTACATGACAAGCTCTGACAGTGAAATGTCAAAGTGTAACTTTTGACACTTAAATTCCTCAAGAGAGATGACATGCTGCCACACTTCAGCTCTTCTCATCACTGAAAGAGGTAGCATATAATAAGAATTCACAGCCTGAAGCTCTTTCGAGATTTTAGAAATCTGAGTGGTATCTCCAGGTAAAGACAACTGGATCAGCAATTTCTTAAAAACAAACAAACAAACAAACAAACAAACAAACAAAAAAAACCACAACCCCTGAATAAAAGCTGTATCTGTCTTTTGGAAAATAACCCAATTCTAGTATTTATGTGGTTAAGCAAGAAACCTGGGCTCAAACCCATTTCTCAGTTTATTTCTAACATGGTCTCTGAATCAATAAGTGTTAGACTAGGACAATAAGGCTGCTTGAATGAATTAATTGTACAGTCAGAAATGTAGAATCAGCCACAGAAAATGCAGTTCTACAACAGCGTGCAAAATCAGACAATACTTCCTTGATGTTCTAGACCATGAATACAACTTAAAACTGCTGGACTGAATGCTGTGTTGTCTGTAACATTTGCTCCAAGCCGCTTTCTGGGCCAGACCTCTCAAAGGACCTACACACAGAGATTCTTTAGTCTGATGATCCCATACAGACTCGTGCGAAAGAGAGATACCAAGCTGCTTCTATCAGCCAGGACAGAGGAATGAAATCTGGATGCTTATGCATGGATGCTTTGGATGCCTTGTGAATATGTGGCTTCTTTATCCAGAACTTGAAAACTTCAAACACCAGATTATTTTTTTTTTGTTATTTCAAGGTTACACTAAAATAGATTCCTGCATCAAATTACAGCTGCTCCCTAAAGCTCAGCACCACAATGGAAGAATATGAAACACTATTTCAACCAAACTAAAACCCTGTCAGCAGATCTAGGAGATCTGCAACTGTTGATTTCATCATGAAGCACTTGGGAGCTCTCTAACACACCTACTCAAAACTAGACAACAACAAGCTATCTTCACATCTACTGCCATCCCTCCTTTCATTACAGACACCATCTCAAATCAGGGAGAAAGGAAGAGGCAGCCAAGCATTGATTATGGATGACCTCTGCTAATTTGCTTTTTCTTTATATTGGAACAGTGTGGGGTACTCCCAGAGAGATTAATAAAGGTTATGAGCAATTCCTTGATTCCCAGAGAGATTAAGGGATGTCTGCAGGTTCCTCAATTCTTTATACAAAACATGTCCCAAAAAAAGCATACCATGGAAAAGAAAGCAGGTCATTCAACAGTTATGCACAGACACATACACCCAGCAAAATTTAGTATTTGTATTCAGTGCTCTTGCTCATAGAAAAGACAATAAGAAAAGATTTCCCCACGGAAAGAGAGTGTAATAACTATTAAAAAATAGGAATTATGAGGAGGCACAGAGTTGTAAGCCTTTACAGTTTTTATTTATTTGGATGCCCTGTAGCAGAACATGAAAGAACCAGTGAGCAAGAAGATATGTTTCGTCACTTTTAGTACACAATAAAAAGTGATGTGAAAATTTCTGTTATTTCTTATTGTCTGAACTTAAATAGATGAACAATAAAATGTAAGGCAAAGAAAACTAACTGTGAGATTTTAAAATATTTCTTCTAAAATAAGTATTTCAGATGTAAAGGTATTGGAGCATGTTGGACTAGAAATCCAGTCTTGTATGGCATTCAGTACCACTGTTTCAGTGACCATGAAGCAGATATGAACTCTCTAATAAAAGATGTATTAATAGCACAATAATTATAGCTTGATATTTGCTATCATATCTCACACATTTATTTTCTTTTCTGTCTCAATTCTCTATCCATTACCACCAATATTTTAAACAGACTGTAAGACTTCATAAGAGAACATCTCCTACATACAAGTATTTCAGAAGCATTAGTGGTCATGTACAACATCAGCGTGATTTTTTTTAAGAAACTGTATGGAAAGCAACGAAGCTTAGAAGCCCTATCAAACTGACACCTATGTAGCAAAGCAGTGGCTAAGAGAGTCAATTTTTTAAGTTAGCTTACCTGCTGATCAGTCGATGTACGCTGCTGAACGGCATCATGGCTCACAGAGCCTTTTTTGACTTGTATCCTGCCAGGTGGTGGAGGAATCACACCTGAATATGAAGCTGGGTTTTCAGCATCTGAGGAATACAAGGCTGTGTGTCTTGATTCTTGTTCATTCTTTGACACAACAAATCTGGGAAGTGGGAGGTCCTTTACTGTTTTAAAAAAAAAAAACAAAAAAAAAACAAAATCAGAGCAGGCTATTTACTACGCAGAATTATGATGCTTGAAAACAAAAATGCAGTTCTAGTTCATAGTTAAAATGTCAAATGGGCCTCAATTACTTAAACACAGACTGGTGCTACAGTTAAGCCAACATCTGCCTATTGGAAAAAATACCCTTTCTGCATTATATTTCACAATTCTGCTGCCCAAGTTCTAGTTTTGGTATACAAAGAGGATTTCACAGACCTGTGTAACTATTCCGCACTACAGCTTCTCATTAAATGTGGTAGCAATCAGATTTAGCTCTTTTTCTTAGTTTCGTCAACATGGGATTATTGCAGTGTGATTTTTCAAGACCCCTCTACCTCTTCTAGCACACATATTAAAGTCTTCGCACAGAATAGCTCCCCAACAAAACAAATGCTAAAATACTACAGTATATTCAACATCATCTTTTAGTGAGCTGATGTCATGTTTATATTTACCACAGATAAACAGTCTTATTGCAAAAACTGCAACTACTGCTTAGACACATCCACGTACACCTTCCTACAGTAGAAGCTAAAGCAGCTGTTTTACTGGGATACGACAGAATGTTCCAGTATCACCTCACTCTGTTACTAATACCTATAAGGAAATATTTCTACAAAATGCTAGGAGGTCCTTCGCTTTATGAACCATGCTTCGGAGTAGTCTGATAGAAAAAATGAGGCTATGTAAGTCTTCAGTTTTTCACTGGGAGATTTCTACAATTTTTTTGAATCTCAACCACAACTTTTACTAGTCCACTGTGAATAAAAACAAATTGTGAACTTGCTGTACAGCACAAACATCAAACAAATTTATAAGCATGGTTCAAATTTCATTTCTTTTGCTGATTGCTTACATTGATTAGTTTTGGTCAGTGCTACTACCCACTACATTAAATAATTAAATGAAATGGCATACAATTTATTACATTGAAATTAAACTGATTTGTATTTGAAGACTGTAATTTGAATCCATAGCATTCAATACCTATGTATTCAGAGACATCTGTATGTATCCAGTTTTAAAGAACAAGGCTCCAGTAAGAACATAAATTGTTGACCTCAGCCTCTGTCACTAAGCACGATTCAAGGTGCCAAACAGCTTTCATCACAGGGAAGGAGTGTGCAATAAAGCCCCTTTGCTAAATTTGTGGTTACCCACCACATGGAAACACCGTTAAAGCACTGATGCCTTCCTCATTCCCAGACACCAGTGTTCACATGAGCGCTGTAACCCATGTTACACTAGGGAAGTCACGTAGCTAAATGGTGAACGACAGCCAACAAGTGAAAAAGCCACTGCGTACAAATGAAAATTAGCATGCTTGCAAAGCAAAGAATAATACAGTCAACCAGGACATCCAACTGACAGAGGGGAAGTCTATGCCACTGGCTGACCCAACACAAGGCTTTGGCATGAGGTATCTAGCAATATTCACAAAATAGAGGGCATGGAAGAAACACGATATTCTAATAGTCTTCTTTAAAACCAAGACTAGATAAGTATAGGTTTGTTTTGTTGTACTAAATTTCCACACAGGCAATTGAAACCTGCCATTTTACATCTGTCTTTTCCCCCTAACAGCAGAAAAACCTCATTTCAATGCTATGACAGCATTTGTTACCACTCAGAAATCCTTCAATTATAAATGCGATAGGTGTTATAAACAGAATTACATCTTGATATTGAACAACTCAGAAAGTTCTCTGTACTTTTAATGCCCACATCCTTGTCAACATTTTCTACCACCAAAAACTGCATTCTAACTTGGAAAATAAATGTTATTTTTAAACAGACACTGTTCATTAATCTCCCTATTCTTAGCCTCTTAGAAGGAAAATTTTCTGGGACAGCAAAGAAAAAACAGATTTAGAGGCTTATAGCATATTTACTAAAGACAGCATTTTTACTACACTGCACATTTGAGTAATCAGAAAAGCACTTAATTAACTAAGCATCAATTGGATGACACGTGTGTTGGATGAGGTTAGTACTCAAAATTTGACTGTAGTCTCCACTCAGCAACTCACACAAAGTAAGCTTCCTGTCTACTGAAGAGACACACGGTGAACCAAAGAGCAAAAACAAGAAAGGGAGAGAAAAAATAAAGATAAAGGAATGACTAATGTTAATTATTGAATAAAAGACATATAGAATACAGAGCTAAAATGCAGTTGCCCTAAAATAAAAGCTTTAGCTAATTTTAAACGTTTTACTTTGAAGAGAGAAACGATACAGTTCAACTTGGGATGGCTCTAACAGTTCCCCTTTGAGACCTCTTGGAGATGGACCGTGGGCAGAACACAGCTAGCCAGGCTCCTGAACTCGTTTTCAAAAAAAGGTAACCCAAGTTCAGAAACATTTTATAAGCCTTCAGCCTGCTGTATTTTGGCTGTTGTAGCTGCTACAAAAACACTTGAATAATCCTAGGACCAGGAACTTAATAGACAGTAATGGAACCACTGCAACCAAGGCAACAGACAACCAAAGCTAAAAACAGTAAGGGTAAAAATAAACGTTCTGACAATTGTACTTGTTGTATTTAGTAGGTTTGGAACACAAAATTATTCCTAGAAGTCCAGAAACCATTAGAAGTATTTCCAGTCTTGCTATGAATCAAGGAAATGTATTCCATTATAAAAGTTCCAATGGCTGCTGAGTATACAATAACATATTTTATAATTTGGAATTTATTCTGCGCTTTCATTTGAACTCCTTCCTTCAAATTTAGTCTAATTATTTCTTAACAGAAAACTTCCAGTTGAGGTATCTTGCCTTAAAACAAAACAAAGCATAGAAAACCTCTGGATTCTAGTCTTTCCCTTCTTCAACATGCACCTGATAAGAAAACCTGCAATTGTTGTATCAAGTCCCTTTTCCAGCATTCTGATTCTAGGGCTTGCTGAAGCTTCAGATTTGGGAACACTGATCAGGAAAACGGTTTATAAACATAAGGTGGCTTGAAGAGCAGAAAAGAACTTCAAGAACAGCAAAATGTTGACTGAGACCAGGCACTTTTCCAAAAAGCTACAAAAAAAAATCATGAAAACAGTATATACTCTTTATATGAGCCTAGAATAAGCATAATGATAAAAGCATATGGGATGATTCCTTTCTTTTTTACAGCTTTGCCAAATACTTCACGTCCTATCAGTCTCCTTAAATACTCTGCTTCAACTATATCTTCTAGAAACAAACCCCTAAGCTTTCTTTTAATTACTAGCATTGATAAATTACATCATATGTATTCCACAGCCATAAAATCTACTCAGAAAGTCTCCTTAATGCAAAGCTGTGCTCCAAAGATACTTAAGTTGTGAGTTGTGTACTACGCTGCAAAGGGCTACAATGATTTAAAACTACTTCATCTTCCCAGGTCTCTCTTCATCTTACAGAACAATGACCTGCATCCACTTATGTCACTCAGAAGGCTACTGTAGAGTTTCCTATCAAAGCTCTTTGTGTTGTTCTAAACAACCTTCCTAGAGCAAGACCCTCTCTTGTTCCTATTTCACTACTCACACCACAGCTGACCTTTGAAAAGCAGGATAACAGGTGTTCTGTCTGATAACAGACTTCAAAGATCTTTTTCACAGGTCAGGTTTTTCACTAGAAAAATCTTAAGCCACTAACCTTCATATTTGCATCGAGAAGGGAGGAAAATGTCAAGCCAAGCATGATGGAATGTGACTTTAGAAAAGATGACTTTTCATTTGTTGCTGTTGAGGCTTCATATACTCAGCAACCACAACAGCCTGCAAACATATTCTTCTTTTCCTTCCAATTCACATTAGTCCTGCTATTACTTTATTCTCAGGCTAGAGTATGCGAGTTCTCATATTAGTAATCTATGGAATGAACTTGCACGTACACAATAGTTGGTAGTAGTTGTTCATTTACCCCATGACGAACACACTACTTATTCTATAAGGGAAAGGTATTTCACCTCCTACTTGCTGCATAGTAAGAATACACACTCCCTCAGTCTCTCTGCAATTCTGTTAGCAACATGTATAAAAAGGTATCACACACTAATTTACAAGGTTACTCTACAGGAATCTGTGAACCAAACACAATAATTCTGCTTACCAACTTAGTGTGTCCCATCCCTCCCTCCCTCCCCAGCCCCTGTGATTTACCTGTATTTAAGCTTTCCACTCTTAGAGGGAGACCAGATTGTGCCACAGCAACAAGTTTCAAAGCAATGTAAAATTGACTTCTTCCAAAATAGCCAAGTCTTGTTGCACCACAAAGCTCCTTAATCTGAAAGAAAACACATAAGTTACTTGCACAAAGAAACTTAAAACACAAACTGTTCTACAAAGTCAATTTCATACATTTAAGAACAGAATGTTTTGCATTACTTGTAACAACTTCCTATATACAGTCTTTCAGTAACGACTTCACAAGTAATCTCTAAATATTATGTGACTCCTCACAACCAACAAAGCAGGAAGTCTAAAATTTGTTTCTTCCAGTTACACAGCTTTTCTTTCAGCTAGGTTTTAAAGGTTCTACAGAGTGGATGTGAGCTAGAGTAAGAGACAATAACTGGGATTACCTTCTAAAATGTTTAAAACATTATTTTGAAAACAAAATCAAAACCAAATGCCCCCAAACCCACCAAGAAAGCACTTCAAGAAACATCCTATGACACTATTAGCTACTCCATTATCAGCTATATTGTCTGTCTTCAGGAACTGCAACAGAAAAGAGCATTCAACATTTTTAGTATTACATTGCCAGATGTAATTCAGAAGCACAAAATGAAGACTTTCAAATAATTCTCAGACAAAACTGAAGTGTGTTACTGATCACGTCAGAGAAATGGTCTGCCCCCAAATTTCTCCCTGAAGAGTTTCAATGATGAGGTTAGAATTTATAAAAAGTGAAATAGCTAGACAATTGCAAATTATATCTTCTAGACTATTCTGATACAGGCTTGCTATAGGTCAATGTTTAGCTTAGAAAAAAAAACCTATGAGGCATTCACTCAGAACACAAAGTATCCACACGTACGTATGAACTTCAGCATTGAAGGAGAATGCAGAAGTTCAGGTTCTCCAAATAATCATAGAATCCTTTAGGTTGGAAGGGACCTTTGAGATCATCAAGCCCAACCGTTGAGCCATTAGGGCTCTAAAATCCTCTGCTAAAACAGATCAGAATCTGTCAGGGTTGGAAGGGACCACAAGGGTCACCCAGTTCCAACCCCTCTGCCATGAGAAGGGACACCTCCCACTAGATAATGCCACAGATGCTGTTTCGTTTGAGAACCACACGGAAGAAGCTGTGTTATCTTACTCCCTTTTCTTACCCTGGTGTCCCATATAATCGAAAGAGTGTTCTAGGACCTCATGAAAATAAGCTGTTGTAAAACTTGCCACAGGAAGGTGTGGCAAGTTGACAAACAGTCCCAAAGAAGCCCCAAGAGGATCAGCAGGTCTAGGGCCATGAATGCACCTCAATCCTGCTAGACAGAAGCTAGGTGCATTAGATCACTTGGCTATGTCTGCATTATACTTCCCACACTGTTCTACAGCATCTGTGTTATTTGTATTTTCCCAATTTAGTACTTCTGCAGCACGATGTCTGGACAGAAGTCAGGAGGTAACAGGGCATTTTCTAAAGTTCATTAAGTAAAAGAAAATAATTGAATGCAGTTGTATACAATACATTAGTTTCAATAGGTTGGTTGCACTACAAAAAGCGCCATGAGGAAAGAAATGGCAGTATAAATTGACAACTGACAATTCAAATAAAAACTTTGAGTCATCAACACCTGAAATAAATTGCCTGTACCCAACCTAATGCAAAAAATAATTACACTAAGTTTACATAACTGGCAAGAACTAAAGCAGCCGAGATTGAAGAGACAGCTAGCAGTTGAAACCAGCGAGAGAACAAGAGCAATTCCTTTTTTTAGAGCACTGTATCCAGGAAGACTGATCAACATTCACGTACTTGACTACACCCAACACAGAAAAAGCTTGTGGGTCCAGTGGCTGAGCACTGAGAGATGAGTAACTGAGCAGACTCTAGAAAAGCTGCTTATGAAAGGAAGCGATGACGCAGGCACTGGGGCCTATGGAATCGTTAGGCCCTAATGGCTTTAGGCAATTTCAAAGCCAGTGCTACACTAGAAATTATCTTGTTTGGAGCTAGCCAGTATTGCCAGATTGAAGAAACAGTTAAAAACCAAATTAATAATTAAGCTACCACAGCAGATAAGTATTAGAAAGACCAGCATAGATTCAAAGTAAATAGATATAAATGTAGAAAATATCCCAGATATAAGTACCAAGAAAAGGAAAAAGCTAAGGATACAAAAAACACCCCCAACAAAACCCCACAACTGACAAGAAAGAATGCTCTTATGCTGCAAGGAGCTGTCAAATGCACCCGTAGATAGGTAAAGGAGTCCTCTATTTCAAACACAGACTATAACTCACTCAGAAATATGACTGAAGGTTAACTAAAATCATTACATGCAAACATCTAGCGGAGAGTCCTCTGCTGACTGACAGCATGCTCGAACACACTCAAACAAGCCTAACTATAATCTTCTTGAAGGAAGATTGAAACATTCAATGGGTAATAAGCTGCAATGATAGGAAGGGATGGAGGGTAATAATAATAATAGTTTTAATAATAATAGTTTAAAAATAATCAAGGGATTGCTTCCCAAGATTTATGTTTAGGGCCTTCATCTTCTCAAGAAGGGAGAGGATAAGGAATTTCCTTAAACTCTTCAATGAAGACAGAGCCATCTTCAAGACAAAATGCTCCATGACTGTTTCCGTCTCCTTGGATATGAAGATCCTGAGGTCACGATACTGCAATTAACCAGAGTAATGCTAACAACTCTGCAAAGCTCCAGAATTGCTGGAAGGTGTTGATAAAAACTGAAACAAACCAACCTAAAACAACAACAACAAAAACCTCAAACCACCAGCAAACCTCACCACTCAGTGCAGTAGCTGTAAATTATGAAATTGCACACTCAGGCACCATACTGCAAAGAAGTAACAGCACCATCAACAATATCAGGAGTTGGCGTAGATCAGATAAGCACAGGAAACAGCACAAAGTAACAGCTGACACGGGGGCACTGTTTTATGCACATACCTTCCAGAACTCTTACAGGTTTCAAATAAAAGGTCCTTGAATTTGGAAAGGTTTGTGAGCCAAAAAAAAACCCTAAGACTTGAGAACCTTTAAAAATTCCAGGTGAAGTGGAACAAATCACATCCTCTACTAAATGTGCTGAAATGCACTCTACAAAATTTGGAAGAACTCTGGAAGAGTCTTCCAGAATATGAGAGTCTACCTGCCCCCAGGTTCTTCAACATGGCAAATCAAGCCCATTATCTGTAAACATTAATCATACAAAAGCACAACAGTATTTAAGTAAGGATAACTGCGAGGCTAAAACAAAAAATGAAGGAACATGCACGTCACCTCCGTAGTAAAGATAAAACTACTTCATCTGCTTGGAGAAAGTTACTAAAGGACCTGCTGTTCCATACCAGAGGATGGCAAGAGGCAAGACTTCAAGGCAGCTTTCGAAGGCTGGAAGTTACAACACACATGGTGCGTGCTGACGGCAGTGGGGAGCGAACAAACCCAAAGGAGGACCTTTTGTATCACCTCATCCAAACTAGAACACTAAAACAAGTCTATCCACTCAGAAAGAAAAAAACCCAAACATATGGATACAAAGAAAGAAGGAAAAACTGGGATTCAGAATATAAATTTTGGTCCTGGTTTTATTAATACATTCTTAATTTGAGGTCTTCTAGTAGTCCTACTGTAACTTGGCAGGAATTTTCATGTTTGTATTGTCAGTGTAAGACCTTGTTTTGAAATTAATGTACACAAATAAACCCTATGTAGAATCACAGAATAGTTGAGCTTATTAAGACCCTCTGGAGATCATCTACTCCACCTCCCTTGCTCAAAGCAGGCTCAACTGCAGCAGGTTGCTTAGGACCACATCCAGTTGGATTTTGAGTATATCCAGGGAGGAAGACTCCACAACCTTCCTGAGCAACCTCCTCCAGTGTCTGATCAACCTTAAAATAAAAAAGTTTTATCTTACATTTAAATGAAACAATCACCATGAACAATATCATATAAAACATGCACCAGAGGTGTAAAAGGTTTCACACTCACTTTAAAATATTTCACACAAACGAGAGTTAAATCAGACCACAGGAATATTCCTGTGCCTCGGTATTTAGTACGCAATTTTTGAGTTTTACTGTGCATACTGAAAATAGCCTTTCAATGAAAAGCAAGAAATATTTTTAAAGTTAATAGCTTACTTCAGTCTAAAGAATATCTAAAATAAAAATACAACCTGATTCAATCTTAGGTTATTTAAAAAAATATAACTCATTACAGATTGATTTTGATTTGCAGTTTGAAATGACAAACATTCCCATGTCAACAACATTATTTCTACATTCCATATGCACCAATGCATTCAGAAGAATTCTAAAGCTCTTTGCAAATATGACAGGATATTTTCCAAACTAACTGTATTAGAATACAGCCTCAGGTTGGGTAGTGGAATATGCTGTCCCACAAAGGTGCTCTCCTGAAATCACGTAGTCCACTCAGCTCAGCCACAACAAAAATTAACAATATCTCTACAGTGTAATCTGGGGACGTATAAGGGAAGTATGAAAAAATATTTCATCATTGCTATTGTAGCAGAAAAAAAACCTACTGTCACTACATATTAAAGACCAATTGAAAAAACTCCTTTGTGCTTTTTTCTAGATTGAATAAATTTCTTTCCTCACAATTTGTTACCTTCTAATCTTGTTATCGTCCATCCACTGTTCAAGAGATCAATTCCTGTCACTTCATTTATTGCAATGTGTCTCACTAATTGCAGACCACAGCCTGACAATTTTCTGACTACAGTCTCTCACCTATCATCAGCTGGACAAAGCAATACTGCTTAGTTATTCATCTAGAACTTTAAACTTTTCTTCAGAAGTCTCACTTGACAGGTAGCTTCTCAGCTGCAACAGTTGTTGACAGCACTGTGTTGCAGGAACAAGACAGAGAACTGTCAAAGATCCCTCTTTTGACGAGTTATTTTTAACCAAGTCAAGTCTCTGACCCAGTTCTCTGCAAGGCTCCACAAACCTTGGCACATGGCAGCATACAGAAAAAAAAAAAAAATTGGAGACAGGACAAAAAAAAGCCACTAGAAGAAACAGTCCAAGTATTGCTCTGAATTCTATGCTTCAGCACTAATAGCATATGTAAGACATATGTAGCACTGTATATGACAAACTTTT